CCCCCCCCGTAAACCACTCTACAAATCAGTTTAGATCCCTGACTCTGGACACTCGCGAAACACTTGAGGACAAGTTCTTCAACTCTAGAACTAAAAGTACAACACACTCGGTTTGACCAACTGACATTTTGATCACTATCACTGTTGGGGCATCAACAAAATAGTAGGGTGAGAGCAAAAGCCGCTCCACTACGCACCACCTAGCGGCGGCTAGACACACTACGCCGCGGCGGCGAGCTGCCACTTACTTCCAGCTGTTGGACTTCTAATTCATTCAAATTGTGAAATATTTCAAACCATACCCGTCTCAACGTTCTTGTCTCTACTAGAAGAAAAATCCCCCCCCCTGCCCCTCTCATCTACAGAGCAGAGCGGGCGACGGCGGGTTGGCATAGATTGCTTGTGCTACTTGAGCTGCACGAAAAACTGGAGGAGAAGCTTTGTGCCCTGGTCGAGGGGACTGACTCTTAGTCCTGTGGGCTATTTTTCTGTACTTTCCAAACATACTAACTTTTAGCGTGACCGGCTACAGCCTCTACAACGTAAGAGGAGAAGCAAGGGGATACTCACTTCAAGTTCAGTAATACCACGATGACTTCTAATACCCTGATAACACCTAGGATATATGCCTTAAAATTTGCAGACCTCAAGCTCATCTCCTTCCTCTTACAAGGCGAAGGGTACAGACGGACGGAAGGACACGAGAGTGGTTGCATATGCCCGCTTTAATGCTTTTTAGCCCGTCCTTCCACTTTGAAAAAGCTATCCAGCAGCCTTATTCAAACGACCTCGTGTCTGCCTCTAATCTACTAGAAGGAGATTTGCTGGAAACTATAGCTTTAAGTTGTGTGCCCGGCAGCAACCAATTCATTAGTAGTGGTAGAGAGGCGTGAGCATCCTGTGTATTTTTTAACCCACCCTTCTGCTTTGGAAAAGCTATTTAGCGGGCTTATGCAAACGACCTCACTGTAAAGAAAATGAACGTGATTTTACGACATTTTCTCGGTTAATTTTGTATTATGTAAACTTCGTTTCTAACAAATTACGATGCATCGTTATTTTACGAATTTGCTTTGTAAAATCCCAAGCTCTACCTAAAGGGGATGACAATTGTAAATATTTTAGTCAAATTTTATGTCTTACGGCCCCCCAAAAATGCATTCGTTACGAAATGTATTCGTCACTTTACGAAATGTTATCGTAAATTGGCACTTACGAAATATTTTCGTAAAATTGATTTTTACGAAGCATTTCGTAAACTTTTTTTTCGTAAAATCACGAAAACGTTTTACAGTGCTCGTGTCTGTGTGTCTGTCTGTCTGTGTGTCTGTTCCAATAGAAGGAGATGTGCTATAGACTTGACATTTTCAGGGTATCTTAAGGTTTACTCCTAGATAACGAAACGCCTACGGCAGATTCTGCAACCACCCCTAAGGCTGTGAATGGGGGTATCCAAGGTTCAAATATTCCCCTATTAAAAACGTTTTCACCCGGTATGAGTCCGACAAAGGGACAGTCCGCCTGAAGCCCGAACGGACAGCTCGAAAATAGTTCCGGAAAGCTCCCTCTTCGTCCGAGCCAGGATTCACTCCCTTACTCCTCGGACTCCCCTCTTGTGTAGTTGACGCCATAGACCGCTGAGGTAACCCGGATCGCTGGGAGAGGTCCGTTCGGAAAGCCTCTTTACCTCAGTCCCGAACAACGCACTGTTTCCTCTGCTGTTAGAGAACGGTCTGTCCTACAAGGCTGCTGTTTTCGACAATCTACTAACAGCTTGATGGCGCTCATTATCCATCTAAACCCGAAGCAATATTTATTTACAAAGTATTTCTTGGTCTTTTTAGAGGAGGCTGCTTTCTAAAAAATTTGCTATCAGTTTGCATCAGCTGAAACATTTAAAACCTAAGGTGAAAGTACTTATTTCTGAAGGCTGATACACATACTGTTTTCCCCAGATTGTAACATTTTACTAACATTTTCCTTAGATTTCTCGTCGTTAGACTGTCAAAATCTCGGCATAAGCTAGGGCGCGGTGGAAAGTTGAAGAAATTTCGGACTTTGACGGGATCGTCCGGTGAGCTCCGGACAGGCACCGGGCTGTCCGACATTATCCGGATTCATTCCGGGTCGTCCGAACGTCGACGGGCATCTACCGGACTGTCCGAGTCCGGCGCCGGGCTGATGACGGAAGAGTCCGGACACAACCCTGATAGATAACGGAATCGTCTGCAGTACATCGGGCTAAAACGGAGTCGCTTCTAATAGGGTCGCCCCAAAAGTATTTTTTTTTTTATGTTCTTCTACGGGGTAACTCTTCAAAGTAGAGCCTCTGAGCGAAAATTTCGTCCGTTTGGCTCTATCTCTGTTTAGGCGCTGGAGGGTCTTTTTTCACGAAAATAAGCTAAACATTGCTGTAGTGAACAATAAGTTGTAGACGGCCCAAAAAACCGCAAAATAGGAAAGAGACTGACCACCCTACCACCGCCCCCCCCCCCCCCCAAAAAAAACTTTTCTAAGCAAGGGTGGGTTATAGCCGCGGTTCTTCACTGTTACATGCCTTTTCGTGTCTACGGGGCAAATTTTAAAGACGACGGGTTTTAGCGGGCTGAAGGCCCATTACATCATTTGATTATGTTCTTCAGCAAATCGCTTGATAAAAATTGCCGGATCGCAGGCCTGCCCATCGCCGCTGGCAGGCCAAGCATGCCCAGCCCCTACCGAAACGGAGTTGCCGGCGGAGTGTGGCGGAGCTGGCAACTCCGTATGGCGGAAGGGCGGGCCTGGGAGTGAACACACTTGTCAAAATGACTCATAAATAGGCAGTGTGTGTTAGAACAAAGTTACTCGATTTAATAACCACAATATCAATGGCACAGGAAACAATCCAGACTGTACGTTAAATCAATACAAGTACCTACAGTACAGAAACTTGAGGACTAAACAGTCTAAACAGTCTATATTTAAACAGACAAGTATCAAAGAGATTTTTCGTAAACTCACAGTACAACCTCAATATTAAATATACACATGGATCCCCGTGACTAAATGCAGTTCAGGGTCTCTCTTGGAGCCTGAGTGAGCCACGAGACATGACCCACTTAGCCTAGACTCCAGAAGCAGCCCCTACACTGCAGGGCATCCAAAAGGGCAGGCTTTTGCTGGCTTCTTTTTTTGGCGCCTATGCTTTAACATGGGAGGAGGGGGAAGTAGCCCGCAACAGCCTGCCCTTTTGGATGCACTGCTACACTGTTACAAAAAACCACAGTAATAGGTACAGGAAACTATTGGTCATACACATGCCTAACACGTCTGTGGTCAAACCGTATCTCCTACAGAAGAGGTACAGGATGCACCGTACCAAAACCGTACATCATACAGAATAGGTACAGGAGCACCGTATCAAAACTGTAGTCATGACGTTGCTGTACCCTTGCGGTATATCTACAAGTTTGCCGTTAGTAAGATTTGTGTAAGAGGATTCGGTCGGGAATTGACCGCCAACTTCAAAGTTCAAAAATAGTTGCATACCCGAGGCACGGCTCTGCCTGATCGCACAGTGGCACTGTTAAAAAATACCGTACCCAACTACAGCAGATACTACAGTACTTTGCCTACGGTTTGTCACAGTACGGAACCGTACGCCATATTTTGCTGTATAGGATACACTACAGGCAAACCGTAGTCCAAACACAACATCTTTGTTCTGTGCCATACCCAGAGCGTCACTGGCCTGGAGATTGACTCGCTAGTTAGCTCTCGCTGATGATACGCCACGCCAGGTAAGTCATACGCCAGAGGTGCCGCTGTCCAGCCGGGCAGCGCCCTGCCTGTCCCAGTCCCTAGGGATGCAACTATTTTTGAACTTTGCAGTTGGCGGTCAATATCTGACCAAACCCTCATTCAAAAAAATTTCAAACGGCATATCTGTAATTAAACTGTAAGGGTACAGCAAAGTCATGACCACAGTTTTGATACGGTGCTCCTCCTGTACCTATGCTGTATGATGTACGGTTTTGGTACGGTGCATCCTGTAGCTCTTCTGTAGGAGGTACGGTTTGACCACAGACGTGTCAGGCAAGTGTATGACCAATAGTTTCCTGTACCTATTACTGTGGATTTTTGTAACAGTGCACCTCTGGCGTATGACTTATCTGGCGTGACGTATCGTCAGCGAGAGCTAACTAGCGAGTCAATCTCCAGGCCAGTGACGCTCTGGGTATGGTACAGAACACAGATGTTGTTTTTGGACTACGGTTTGCCTGTAGTGTATCCCATACGGCAAAATATGGCGTACGGTTCCGTACTGTGACAAACCGTAGACAAAATACTGTAGTATCTGCTGTAGTTGGGTACGGTATTTTTAACAGTGTAGGCCACATCTAGCCACAGGGACCCATAAGTTAAATAAACATTAATTAACTCATGGAAGGTCCACAGAGCGAGGACACCATCTTATGGCGGCAAGCGCCCCAAAACATAATGACACAAAGTCTACATTGGAAGAGAAACGGGGGAGGCTAATAGTGCTTACATCATGTTGTTAAAAAAAACCATGTAGGTAGAGGCTCCCATTTCGACTCCAGTTCATGGCCAGCCGGGACGGCGACAAGCCGTGGCGTTTAGCCGAACATCGCACAGCAGAAAAGCTCGAGCAATAAACGCATGGTATAAAGCTACCAGCAAACACCCTGTAAGTGAGAGCCAGAAACATGACCATAACGGAGCAACAGACCATGGCGACGGTTGAGGCTAGGAGGCCAACAAGTATCGTGGCTTACCGGGAAAAAAGAAGTTGTTGAACACGCCACGGTAAGGCACACCGGGTGTAGAGTCTGACAAACCGTGTGGCAAAGCAGGTGGTAGAAACGCAACGCTTCTACGCGACCGTAAACCATGCGCGGGCCCAGCCGTGCCGCCGCCACTCGCCGCCTCAGCGCTGAGGAGCGCGTGAGAGGTGAGAGCAGGTTGAGAACCTTAAATTTCAGTACCTTGTCGTGTTTGCCCGACGTTTTCCCTATATGCGTTGCAAAGCTCACATTTGGACTTTCCATGGGTATAACAAACAAACTACTCATATTTGAGATGGGCCACTGGTAGTCGCACCTGCAGAAAGGTTTAAAAAAGACTAATATCAAGTGAAATATGCCGAAACTGGTTTGTTAAATACTCGAAAACCACGTTTAACGAACTTTTGACACGAAGGTGTCATGGCCGCCGTCTCTTGGACGCGGCAGATTTTTGTCGATTTCTCAGTAAATAACGAACATATGTGCAGCCGAATGGCATCACTTTCAAGATTAAAGCATTACCTCGAACTTTCACGCTTTGCTTTGGTGTGTTCGTCAACTCTAAGCAGGTGGAACTTTTAGGTGTCAGCTAGCTTTTACTCTCGATAAGTACAGAGAACCAAGTGCAGACCAGAAAACGATATCTTTGGCGCTGGGGGGCGAGTGAGTGAGCGCCCGAGCGCCGAAGTGTCGCGCTAGGCGCTATAGGCCCCTCCCTAACAATGCGCCAGCCAAGGCAAACTCCGCCCCTGCCCAACAATACTGGGCCACCGGCGCCAACCCGGCCGCGTATTTACAAATGCTCGTAGGCCCAGCCAGGTATGAGAAATTCGCCGCTCGGCGGCGCGCGCGCCCCCCACTCCGCGCTACGGCGGTCGGCTGTCGGCTCGCAGCTGTACTGTGACGAGCGGACGAGTGTTGATGTGCGTTTGCTTTAGCACAGTTTAGAAATTCAGTTTATGCATTACTTCGGTGACTTAAAGCAATGTACTAACTTCTGGGTAAAGTCTCAGAGGAGACAGTCCAGAGCTGTGTGAAATATATTATTTTTTTGATGAAATATTTCTTTCTGATTCAGCTTGACACCCTTTTTAGCCCGCCCTTCTGCTTTGAAAAAGCTATCTAGCGGGCTTATACAAACGACCTCGTGTCTGTCTGTGTGTCTGTCTGTCTGTGTGTCTGTCTGTCTGTCTGTTCCACTAGAAGGAGATGTGATAGAGACTTGAAATTTTCAGGGGATCTTAAGGTCCACTTCTAGAGAACGAAACGCCTACGGCAAATCCTAGCAACCACCCCTAAGGGTGTG